TGAGAGACTGGAGAGAGTCGGTGCCAAGTCCAGCAGTAAACCCAAGGACAGGGGTAAAGACACTGGCAGCAAGGGAGTGTGTGACAGTGCCAAGGAGACTGTAGAGCGCTCAGGCAGGCTGAGCGCCCCTTGTAGTTCTGCAGGTACAGAGTCCCCCAGTCGCCACCTTTTTACCACTGGACTGGGCAAAACCGATCTGAAGTACCACCTGCCACCAGGGTTCCTGCCACCGCTACCTGCTCTTCATGCCCAGTCATTTCCCTTCGGATTCCCCTACGCCAACCCTTATTTTCACACGGGTGAGAGACTCAGACGCGCACACACGACACACAGAGCTCAGAGCTGACACGTGAAATCCATTAGAATCACTCTCTGTGCGTGTCTCTAGTGTGGAGGCCTCTCCCTGTTAGGGCCTCTTCCTCTGACCCCAGGGTGACCCACATGCACGCCACCAACAGCACAGCCACGTGGGCAGAAGGGAGGGATTGAGGGGGTTGTTGGTTTGCAGGCATAAAGTGGGATGACATAGCAGCAAGCGGCACGTTTACTTTATGAAAGCATAAGAAAAGACTCGTAATGAGCACCTGAAGGAAACTGTAACAGTCATTTATTAAATGAGTTTAAGATATCTATTAGTTTACTTAATTTATTTATGTTAACAGAGCCAAAGACACTTAAAACCAAACAAAAAAATACACATTTGAAAACAAATAGCACCTTTGTACCTGGTGTGTGTATATATTGACACATCATTTTCACACACTGCTGCTTTTTCAGGCTCTTTGGGAGGTCTTTTCATGGATGGGGAGGACTCAGCCACAGCAAACCCTGCAGAGGACATCAGCAAGTGGAGTGTGGAGGATGTGTGCGGCTTCATAAGCAGCCTGGCAGGATGTGCTGAATACACACAGGTGAGAACGTAGAGAGCAGGAAAGAGAGAAGGGGACTGAGGCCAGGGGCAGGCTGATTATTAACCATAGAGGAAAAACAGTGTACTAGGATATAATTCAAACCCCAAAACCACTGCAGTACTGTCAAAGGCGTCTCATTATATTTAGGTAGAAGCAGTAAACCTGCAGCTTTTTCAAGGTTTTTGTGAATGTGTGTGGATGCATGAGAGAGCATGGTCATGTTTAATGGTTTGAGCCACGTTTGTGTGAATGACGGTGAGTTTAAAGTGCATGTAGGTGTAGCTTGTGTGACTGAAACGTGCATTTGTGTGTTAATCCAGGCTGTGCGACGTTCCAAAATGAACTATCCAGAGAAAGTTCTCATCATTGGAAAATGGAAACGAGTAAAATATTAGGACTAGGTATTCAATTCAACTTATTTTATATAGCGCCAAATTACAACAACAGTCACCTCAAGGCGCTTAATATTGTCAGGTAAAGACCCCTACAATAACCCAGAGAAACCCCAACAATCAAATGACAACCTATGAGTGAGCACTTTGGCAACAGTGGAAAGGAAAAACCTCCTTTTAACAGGAAGATTCCTCCAGCAGATCCAGGCTCAGGGAAGAGCAGCATGTGCTGTGACCAGTTGGGGGTGATGGAAAGGAGATGAGACAAAAGACATCTTGTGGAAGAGGGCCAGAGGAACATTTCTGGAGTCAGAGACGTGTATGGGGAGGGATTTGCTGCTGTCCTGACTCCAAGGGAACTGATAAGGAACAAAGTAGACACCATAATTAGGCTTCAGCTGTCTTAGACTCGGAGATTTAGATGAACCTTTTTGCACAATAAATGATAACCGTATATACATATGGCATAGAAAACATCCCAATCCCAACATTACGATGTTTAAAATGATAAAAGACTACAGTCTCTACAATTTGAATCATCCATATTGCAAAAATGTTTCCTGATAATCTCCAATTGCGTTCTCAAAATGAGTATGAAACATTTTGGAATAGAGCCCACTGTTCTGTAGTGTTCGTGTGAGCGAATGTGTAGGGTCGCGTGGGTTTCTGTGTGTGTCGGGGCTGTGGCTGAAGAGGCTGTGTCTCCGCCAGGTGTTTCGGGAGCAGGCCATTGATGGAGAGACATTGCCACTGCTCACTGAGGAGCACCTGCTCAACACCATGGGATTAAAGCTGGGGCCCGCACTCAAGATCCGCTCACAGGTACACCTCACAGACCTGCGCGTGTGAGAGTGTGTGTGTGTGTTTGTGTATGATCAAGTGGACCCGTGTTTGTCTGAGTGTGCGTTCCCGTCTGTAGGACCGAGACAAACTGCTAGAATAGTATAGCTGATTCCCTTAAACTAGCCTGCCCCACATTCTCAGCCTCTCTTCTTCTCTCTCTAAATTCAGTACACATTAGTCCATAACCCGATGCTCAACAGGCTGTACTGACAGTCATGTGATCTCCTCTCGTCTCCTCAGGTGGCTCGCCGCGTTGGCAGGCTTTTCTACATGACAGGATTCCCGCTGGCATTCCCGTTTCCACCTTCTGCTGCCCTGCGACCCCCAGAGCGCGATCGGGACCCCCTGACTGCGCCATCTGACACACCCTTGCCCCTCTCTCTCTCTGTGCCACACCGACCCACTTCCACCAGCAGCAGTTCCTCCCCTTACAGCGGCCCCACCCCAGGTTGCTCCTCCCCCAAACAGGAAAACGGCAATGTGGTAGGACGATACGAGGCCAAAACCCCCTCATAGGAGTGTAAGGGAAGGGGTGAGAATGGAAGACTAGTCTCATGAATGGGGATGGGGGAGTGTAACTTGAAGCAGACTGACCTCTCAATACCTTCACCTTTTGAGCTGAAATTTACGGGACAATAACAGACTTGAATAAAAAACAAAGACAACTGGACAGTATGGACCGTATCCGACAAACCAATCAGCTGAGTTCCTCTGCAGGGGCTGTAGCCGAGCAGAATCCAAAGAAACTGGGTTGGAAGGAAGAGACGTGAAGCGACAGAGAAAAAGGAGACAGCTGGTCACAGCAAGCCTGCCAAAAAAATGGAGCAAAGCCCTGCCACAAATGCGACATTCTTGCAAGTCAGACAGTCAGACGCTAGCGGAAACTCTTCCTTCCTTCCTGGGCTGGAGGAAGCTCTGCTCACTCGCTCACTCTCTTTCTCTAGTCTCTGCATCTCTGACTGCTCTCACCCAGAACCCTGCAAAGCCCAGGAATTTGAAAAAGAGACATTTCTCCCTCCCTCCCCTCTTCCTCGCCCCTTTCCCTGAGGCCAAACAGCAGCGTGGTGCTGTATGTTGGTTTTTCTTTTTTTTGGTTATTTTTTTTCTTCTTCTAGAGGCTGGAGTTGAAACATATATGCTGAGCAGCACCAGATCTGACCAGCTTCCTCTCTTATCACTGCAACTATGCATTCCGCTGTCCCGATACCAAAGATGACCGGATATGTGGAATTGAAACCATGTTTCACAACGTGTCTGCGCTTCTTTTTGCATTAACGGTCAAACAGGGGAATGCTAGGCTTAGTGCCTCACTCAGTGGGACTCTTATTTGAGATGACACAGGTAGAGCCGTCGTTTACTGACAAACAAAGGATTAAAAATGCTAAGAAATGGAGAAGCCTCAATAGCAGCTGTGGTTTGTACCCCTTATGTCATTGTACGCTTGTGTTGACTACTGTGGGAGGTAGGAAAAACATGCAAAATTGTACAGAATCATGCTTAAGATGAAAATATCCTGAAGATTACATACGTGGTACTTTTACTTTTTGTTAAATGTAGTTGCACGATTAAGGTTTTCTTTACTGGAAAAAAAAAAGTGACTTGCTGAACTTTGGTGGTACTTTTTGTTCATGAGTTTTTGTTTTGCCCTTTTTTAAAAAAAGTGTGATATTAAAAAAAAACAACAACAAAAAACGTATGCTCCAATCTTGAATGCTACTTCAGCATATAAATATGAGGACAAAAATATTTATAGGACTTTTAATGTAGTAGATAAAACAGATGGTGATATGTATTAAAATTAGCCCTCAAGATGGAATTCCAAAGATACTTTTACTTTCTCTCTTGGTTGCAGGGAAAAGAAAGGCACAAGCTCTTAATGCAAATGTTTTGAATTTGTTATGTTTTTTTTGTTTTTTTTTACTACGCAAACAAATTAAAAATGGTCTCTAGATTTCCCTTCAAAAGTTTGTCTTCATCCTATTTTTCTATTCACCACACAGGTGAAATAAATGCTAAAGAAAGCCTCTTCTTTCTCTCGTGTTTGCTTCAAATATCAGAAATGCTCTTTCCTCCTCAGGTGTTTGTGGTACTTTCGTTAAAAAAGAACATGCAGGAGGCGGGGTGTGTGTGTGTGTTTTATAAAGGGGAGGTGACCCATGGGGGGCACAGTTCGGGTCAACACCAGCTGTCGGAGTGTGAGGTTCAGCCGCAGGCCAAGGCCTCCCTGCCTGTGGGGGTAAACCTGACCCTCCTCGTATACCCACACACGCACACAGCAACAGAACCAGGAGCAGCCCTCGCTCACACTCGCCTTCCTCCTTCAAAGCGGTGCGCTCTTCACTCTGCTGGGACTTCCCCTTCGCTTTAGGCGGGCCTCTGCACCAGGAGGTTCAGAATTCACTGAAAACCACCGCAGAGGAAACGTGACGACACACAAGAGTTGCTCAAATCAGATCTGCAGTTGAAGGATTCACACCACACGTAGTTCACTTGTGTCCTTCCTACACCGGTGAATACGTGCCGTAAATGTGCCTCGTGATAAAGGTCAGAATCGCCATCGGTTTGGCTGTGGATTCTGGCAAGCTGGGGGGGGGAGTAGGACAGCCGTGTTTGAGCATGTGCGATAGACAGACAGAAAAGACAGCGGTCCGGGCAGGGGGTGGGTGAGGAGTTGGCACGGAAACAGACCAGCCTGTGTTGCTGCTCTACCACCTGGGCAGAGAGTCTTGGCGCAGCATCAGACACCACCCTGCCAGCCTGGCACCGCACTGCTGCCTCGGGGCTGAACACCCGCCTCTCTGTACCCGCTCCTCTTGGCCGGCCCTGCCTGGCTGGGCCCGGCTCAGCCAGCCTCATAGCTCCTTCCAAATAGCCCGTTCTTACAAAGCCTGGGGGTGCCTACAGGTGTGCACATGTACACAAATTACTCGTTTCAGGTGCACTTGTGCATTAACATGCACATACACGCTTCAATTAGCATCTTAAAAAAATTCAAGGAGAGGATTTTTTTTTTTTTGTATCAGGCTCAGTGTTTAATAAAATTAAACTTCTCTGTACTGTACATAGACAGAAAATTAAAACAACAATAGCAAAGAGAGGAAATACTGGAAATATTGACCGCTCCTATAGACCCTCAGTCGTCATCAGACAGTTCCAGGTCTTCAATTACATCCTCCTCTCCCTCAGCCAGCTTTATCAGAGCAGAGGAGGACAGCGGCTGAGGAGTCTTGGAAGCCTTTTTATCTCCTTCCTCTTCATCATCATCATCATCTGGAATATAGACAAGAAGTACTTAAACTTCACGCTCAGCCACATCAGAAACCTCGCAGGTATCGAGTGGTTTACGTGCACACACGTTAGAGTAGAACGGCATTTTGAACAAACCTCTTCTAATCTGACACATTTCTACAATGTTGTTTACTCTCCAGGCTCGGCTAATGAGTGGCCACAGGAGTTGCTACCAGCTGTGAGACCACCATGTTAAAATGTGATGTAAACCATCTCTCAAAAGTTACACACGGATGATAAAAGCATAACTGAAAAGCATAAATTTAGAGTTGCGCTCCTTAAATTCCATTTCTGTTCATTTATACATAATAAATTCATTTAAGAGACTGAATTAATTTCTGGGGACAATTTTAACTATTTCAGTGCAAATGCTTAGTCTAAATTCTAAAACCGCTCTTCCCTCCGAACCAGCAGCCGAACCCAGAGATGTTTTAGCTTAAAAGTTCAGACTGTCGAGACCCAAATCTGGCATCATGTGGCAGTTTATGCCTGAAAACCTGCTACAAAAACAATTAAATATTTATTAAAATTCAATTTTTTGTACTTGACTATATTTGCATTATCTAGAGCAGGGATATCAAACTTAAGGCCCGGGGGCCAGACGCAGCCCGACAGACTCCAATCCGGCCGCTGGACTGTTTTGGAAAATATGAAGAACATAAATTTCACAGCTTCTCTCACTGATAAAGAGCTTTTCCACGGCCACACTACACTAAAGTAATGAATTCATAGATGATATCTATTAATAAACTATGTCCACAGTGAAAAAACTAACATTTGCTTTTAATGAACAAAAACTTTCTGGTCTGTCTTTCATTTGCTACAGCTGCATTTCTATATCGTGCAGAAAAACATATTGTTATAATTCTACTTCTTCTTTTGTTAATATTAGAGATGGCACAATACCACTTTTTTATTACCGATATCATAAATTTGGATATCGACCAATGCCGATATGAATCCGATAGTGTTTTTAATCAATAAAACTGGTTTTTAACCCTGGAGAACCCATGGGGTCGGCTCTGATCCATGGGTTCTCCAGGGTTAAATATCTTGCTGCATTTTGTATAAGTTCATACTCAAGTTTAAATAAACAACAACACTAAAGCTATTCTGTTATACCTGTATGCAAAAAATACACTGCACCCAAAATATTTCATAGTTCAGCGATACTGATCAATCTAATAAACTTAAACCTACTCCATCCTCCCTATTCTGGTATTTTAAAGAGTAAGCAACCTAACCAATAGGGTTGCAATCTCCCAGCAAAAAAAAAAGAAAAAAAGAGAACCACCCCCCACCTCATGATGCTTAATCGACGTAATCAACTTTAATTTGATGCAGTGTGAAATAAAATGCACAGAAATCAATTATTTTTCAAGAATAATTAAATAGATTCAACGTCTTTTCACGATTGAAGTAGCAGCAAGAAGAGGCAGTCGCTCCATATATCGGTTGTTAAGCTTAACGCAGGAATGCTTTACAAACATTCAGAGATGAACTTACACACTTGCTTTACTTCTCTCTGGGATAACTTCCTCGGAGATGAAATGCCGGTTTCGTAGCGAGGCTACAAATACTCAACCAGACCGCCGACAGGTCCCGCACGCCACAGCTGCTCTATCACGTGATGCATACTGCTCCGACGTGCTACGGTTATGAGCCGAGTTACGCCATGTCGCAAGTTTTGTGAGGTGCTTGTTTGATATTTAATGGATCGGATTACATTTTTTATTTCTCTCCGATATCCGATCCAGTAATTTAGGTCAGTATCGGATCGATACGTAATATCGGATCGGTCCATCTCTAGTTAATATACAACCAGGATTAAATGTGCAGATAAACTTCAGGAAGCACTGTTTCACTGGGCTGGCCCACTTAAGATTAAAGTGGACTGTATGTGGCCCACAGTGTAAAACGAGTTTGACATCCCCGCTCTAGAGGCAAACAGTAATTTTAAGTTTTACCCTTGTTACCAGCCAGCCTCCATATTTCTGGCCCTGCACTGATAGAAAAGGGTAACGGAGACGCCTCTAAACAGCAAATTAACCAAAACAGACAAATTAGGACCTTAAAACGTGTCAAAACTGTTAATTGTGAATACCGACCTAAGTCTTCTCCCTCATCATCGCTCAGGTCAGACAGGTCTTCAAAATCATCGTCATCCTCGTCATCTGACGCACGGCTGCTCTTCTTACCTGAGGGGAGATGGTGGAAAAACATTACAGCGCGCTGAAATTTGTCTAGTCCTACTTTCTTCAGACGTTCCTAAGTTTGCACCGGTGCATCGCTGACGTCTGACGACTTTGGAGACGTGGATATGTGGGCCAGGTATCAGAGGCAGCTGGAAGTGTCTATTTCCTCCTGAGATGGAACTGAGAGTCGATTACAGGCGCCGCCGCCGCTGCTGCTGCTGGTGCACAAACACCCATGACAGTTTACTACCGGCAATTTCAGACATCTTATGCTCACGGCCTAAATATAGCAAATGGAGATAGCAGGCAGGTTCCACAGCTTCCACGATAATGGCAGAGTTGGTGTGTGTGTGTTGGAGAGATGTTGGGTTTTTTTCTTTTTGAAATTTAAGGTGTGCTACTCTCAGAGTGCTGTGTGTGTGTGTGTGTGTGTTGTCTAGCCAAAGGGACAACTGGGGTCCACATGCTTTGAAGTTGAGGTGTGATGAGAAGCTAACGGCATAGGAGAGAGAGAGAAGGAAAGCAGAGCTGTTTCCTTTATGACACGAGCGCACGCACAAGCGCACACGCACACACACGCATAAACAACGTCTATTAAAACATCAGGTACTTCCCATCTGAATTTAAGATCGCAAACGCGCTCTCGCCCTCTCCGACTCTTTGTTGCTCACATGGTGCTTGCAGATTTCAGTTGTACCTTTGAGGTTGCCCCCAAATGACCTGGATGACTTATTACCACCACGCACACACAAATACATACACGCACACACGCACACACACACCAATCTTAATCATCAGCCCCTTCTCGCACTCCCCCTCTTTCCGGGAGTGTGTGAGACCGCAGAGAGCTTTGGTGAGCTGCCTGAAAGCTTTTGGCTCTTCGAGACTGGACGGCGAGGCGGTGGGTGTGCATTTGTGTGCTATCATCGAGATGTGTCTGTGTGTGTGTGTGTCTGCGCACGTGTTGCGAGGACATGCGGGGGCAGCTGGTTGGAGTCTACAGAGCCAGAAAAAGAGAGAGAGAGGGAGAAAAAAAAGGGAGAGAGGCCACCGCTGGCTGTTCCAGTGGGCTGGTTTGAATTAGGAACCCCCGCTGGGATCCAAGCCTGTACTTCCTGTTGGGGTGGAGGTGGGGAGGGCAGGTTCGTGAGTGTGGAGGAGCTGAGGAAGGTTGAACGAAAGGGGTGAGGGAGGAGGGGAGGGGATGCTTGCCGGCAGCTGCCCATCCGTTTGTGGGGACTCTCCCCACAATGAAGTCCAGATGCATTTAAAAAAAACAAAAAAACAAAAACCCTGCCGCCTGCTCTGTTCCTCAGTGACCTTGCCGAGGGTTTTTTTTCCTGTTTGGAGCGTGTCCGAGTGTAAAGCTATGAAATCGAGGTTGACCTGTGGACGACCCGCAGAGGACGAGAGACAAACGGGGTGGGGGGGTGGGGTGGGGGGGTGTTAAAGGATGAATGAGCTGACGGCGCCTTTTGGCGGAGAGAGTAAGAGAGAACCAAACTCTCTGATAAGCGAGAGATTTTCTCTTCAGTTTGATTTGGGATTTAATTTTAATTTCCACGGAAACGGCCTCTGTGGATGCTTTCATATCTCGGAGCCTTACGGCAAACTGCTCTGCAGGTGATCTGCTTCGTGTAGTCAAATCTAGGAGACGTCACACAAACGGATAACGGCAGGAAAAAAAACATAAAATCACAGTGAACTGTCATCACCTCTCAAGCTTTTACACTGCTGTAACAAAATGCAGCCCCCTAGAGGCCAAGTTGGGAAATATACCATAACCTGCACCAGTCCACAAATTGCATCCTTTGCAGGGCCGGATTCACATAAGTGGGGGAAACCAGATATGAGGGGGTTAGCTCACATTTGATTTTGAGTCCTGCATCGTCATCTTCATCGGAGTCGCTGTCAGACTGGAACAGACCCTTGAACTCCTTTTTGTCCTCGGCCTTCTTCTCTTCAATCTTCTTCCGTTTGATCTCAGGAAGGTTCAGATCCTCCATCTTTATGTGACACACACACACAAAAACAAACTGCAGTGCTTGTACACACGAACATTCATGAATGAAAAAACAGTAGAAGTGACTCATAATGACTGAGTAAGGCGACTACTGGCAGGTTTCTTTGGTTTGATAATTACCCTTTCCTTGCCAGAAATCTCCAGCTGGATCTCCTTCTCTCGCAGCTTCTTCCACTGGCTGTAATATTTGCTCAGGGGGGTCCCCTCCTCCTGGATCTGCTTCTCCCAAGCCGCCTGACAGAGAACAGATATTTAGATGGAGAATGCACACAGGTGTGGACAGGACAGGTATGTGTATGTGAAAGGAAATGCAAATCTCCATCCTAATAAGCATAAATACACAGGTGGGTTCTCTCCCTTTCTTTTCCAGGATCTGTTTAGACAAGCCTTTCAGCAGGTTCATATTACACCTCCACCTCCAGCTGACCGGGAGAAAGAGACAGACGAGTGTGATGAAAGTCAGAGAAAACAGACGGGTTGAAGATGCCTGAAAGAGGAGATCTTCTTCAGCCCCTAAAGGTCTTTCTGGACAATATTGATTAGGCCCAATCACATTATCTGACCGACAAATCCAATAGTGCGAACAGACCGTGGCCTCTTGTACCCGTTGGCCTAACATGTTTATCACAATTTTCAGTGCCGCTATTAAGACAGAGTGACACGTGTGCACCGGAAGACGGGACGAGAGAAAGAAAACGTTACTTCTGAATTCGGTCAGACAAACAAAACTAAATAATTTCAGATGAGAGAAAGACGAGCCATGGCAGAGTGTGACCAGGATGGACGCAGGGCGTCGTTAATTAGGCTAGCTCTCAGTTTGGGTGACATGTCAGCAGGGGGGCCGGTGGCCGGAGGGGGGCTGTGGCCTTTCCACAGCGACAGCAGCAGGGCTGTCCCCTCTCCTTCGCCCGCGGTGACACCTCTACGGCTGCCTCCGTGCCAGGGAGTCAATGCCATGGCGACAGCCTCCGCTGAGCACAGAGCCGTGGCGACAGGCGCTGGCACCGTGCCGCGTCGTCTGCCATACTATAGCGCGATCACAACACACACACACACACACACACACACACACACACACACACACACACACACACAACACACACACCCACTCACACACCACACACACACACACACACACACACACACACACACACACACACAACACACTCTGCATGGGTCACATGTCAGGGGTGCTAGATTACAGACGAAGACCATCCGCTTCCATTTCATCTTTAAACGCTCTTAAATATTCATCAGTTCACACCTGTTCAAAAGTACAGGTGACACAACTAAACGAACGCACACGCAGAGCAGAGGTGGTTTCAAAATTTTAAATGTGTTTTCTGTTACTTTGACGACTTTTATAAAAACATCACAGTAACAAACAGACAAAATGATGCATTTCTGAGGGTGTGGACATGCAGCCACTTCCCACGAGAACATAAAAAACACAAGTGATTTTGTTTTTCCTCCTTCGGTTATAGCAGAAGCGCTAACACACCACGAACTTGAACCATGACTTCAGCTCTGAATCTCCTTGGGTATAATTAAACGCATCCACACAGAGGCAATCTTTCCCCCGCCTGAACCCTGCCTCTGCTGACACACTGGACATTTCAGCCATAGCTTTCTAGGCTGGAGGACGTTTGTCCCATGAAGTGATCAGACGTCACTGTGAAGCGTTCCAATCATGCGAGCGCTCACTTCACCGACAGCAAACCTTGCCATACGTGTCTGCGTAGATTCTCAGTCATCCAGGTCATGGTAATCTAAGGAGCTTGAAGACGTTTCAGCTCTCATCTAGGAAGCTTCTTCAGCTCTGAATCAGAATGAAACATCTTCAAGAAACTTAAAGAATTCCAGACGCTTTTCTTTCCAAACTTCCAAGCAACCAGAGTGTGCAGATGCACTTATGCGCCCAGACACACCTTCAGACGGGCAAACTCCAGATTTAGTGTTTAATGAGACGGTAAAAGAAAGAGACCGCAAATTATTTTGCATACGGAGCACTAATGCGAGAGCTTTGCAAGCCACTTTGTTTTTTTGTGAAACCATGCTACATCACAATGCTGCAGAGTAGTTGTAATCTGCTGTGATAGACTGTTAGCGTATCAATATGATTAGCCTTAAATTCTACAACAATTCCCACAATTCCTTTGTGTTTGCCGCCATTTCCTGAATACGTTCTTCAGTTACCGAACTGGTGTTTATTTTGTTGTTAATATGATTTTAAGGGCATGGAGCTGAAAGGGCAAGTTGTTACTGTGGATGTCACCTAGACATCCACCACTTTGACACACCTGACACCTGTAATTATAGAGGTGTTGCATACAGACACATTCAAATATCACACATGTCACTAAAACACACACACACATATACATATACACACATACATGCAGTACGTATACTTGTACACCTATGTGTTATACACACTAATACTAGTTATTGTGTTTGCATTTTTACCGACAAACACGTTTGTCTGAAAAGATTTCTAGTTATTGTGTGTTCATATTACACATTACTGTCAGTGTGTTTAAGTAAAGAACTGCACTGCTTTTGGTTATTAGGGATTTTAACAAAACTAGCAAGCTTTGTAGCACCAGTACAACAAGCTAACAAAGTCAACGTTCTTTGCCCTGGACAAACTACATCTGTTAGCCCTGGACAGCCCACTATGTTGCCAGCACTGCTCTTTGTGATGCAAATTCTTTAATCTTACAGCAGAGTAGTGCACTGGTGATCTACAGACGGTGCAAGCTCTAAAGAGACTGTGTCTGCATGTTCTAGAGAGATTTGTGGAACAACCAGTATTGCAGGTCGCTCTTTGTAGTGAAGTGTCTGTGGTGAACTCCAAAATCCAGTCCAAAGACACGCATGTTGAGTGAAACTGGTCGTGGATTCGAGGAAGATGGGTGATAAAGTGCTTCGGTTTATAGAAAACCCTATAAACCTAACCCTATGAAGTACTGGTGTACTTAAGTAGGATTTTCAGGTATCTGTACTTTATTTGGGTATTTATTTCTCTGGCAACTTTTTACTTTTACTTCCTACATTTTCACACAGATGCCTCTAATTTCTACTCATTATGTTTGCAAAACAGGCTCGTGACTTTAGGTTTAACAAGTCTGGGAGATTCAAACATGAAACTGATTTGAGCCTAAATGGAGGGAACAGTAACACCTACTGGTTTATCCATCAAGAGGGCTTATCACATACAAAGAGATGAAAGAGGCAAAAACATGTAATTGATTGAAGCGCTACACTTTGGGGGTAAGTTATACTTCAGTATAATAACTTTGCATGATCCAGGGTTTGTATGAAAATACCTGGCAGTTAAGTTCAGGATAAACAGGTTAGCTTGCAGTACTGTGGTAAATGTACAGTAAAGCGCTGTGTTGGACTGGTGCACAGTGGCTGTGGTGCTCATGGCCAGTGTTAGGTTACATACAGCAGAGATGAATTTGAATTTAAGCTAATGATGCTGAGACTCGTTCATTGAATTCGGCCTTTACACCAACTGTATACTTTCTAGCATAAAGACAGTATAAACAGGATGCTGTCAGTGTAGAGGATGGAAATCAAGACAGTCTATGAAGCATCTGCTTACATCTAGTTGAATTCAGTTGTAAATGTACAGAGAGCAGTAAAGCTCAGAGCAGCAGCATCAGGTCAGCTGATTATAACATGTAAACAAAGACAAATCCACTGTCTCAGTAGAAATGATTACTATAACTGATCTCAGAGTTCCCTCCATTAAAATCCTATTAAAACTCTTGAATTTTCTTTTTAGCTGTGAAGGTAAGTTCTAAAATCAAGTTTATACTCCCTACTGCTAATATAATATAGATAATATAATTTTATTATTATGTTAATACAGCATGAGGTTCAGATAGGGTTGCACAAAAACTGCTGGTAGAAATGTCCTTCAAAGATCTAATTTGTAGTTTCTTACTTACTTTTCAGAGCTTATGTTTTCACTTTTTAACCTTTACTGGATGGAGTAAAGCCACCGTCCCACTGTCTGCACAGCCAAGGACTTGCATCAGGCACCACCCTTAGTTCAAACCTTATAGCTATTGATGAGTCTATTTATAGGAAAACTGTCCAGTATGAATATGGGAGATACAGTTCATTAGGTTGAAAACTGGACAGTAACTCAGTGAAGCACTACTGGTAACTGCATCTTGTGTATAACTGGCCCTTTGAGACCTCCCGGGGTCTACAACCGGAGTAAGCACAGGGTCATTCTTACCTGAGTTTAAGGTTTATATAGAGAGGTGTTCTCCATTACCAGCTTCTGCCTGTGGCGTTAGATGATCTGTTGTTAGATGGCCTGCAGCACGTAGCTCAACTGGAAACTATCCCAAAGGAATATAAAAAGCTATTTTTCCCTGCAACTGGATTTCTCTGGTGCTCTTATTAGAAATACTGGAATATGACTTAAACATATAGTTACACGAACCAATAATTATTACCCATAAGGGCTGTAATTTATTTACAGATGACTGTAAATACTCACTGTTGTACCCCTCTCCAAACGTCCTTGATGTTGATGATTTGAAAATGTGGATCTATCGCTCCATCATACGTGCTGCTACTGATTTTCAGTCTAGTTCTTGTGTAATTTGGCCCTTTCTTTATGTTTCCCTTCCATAAGAACGGCTTTTTGACAACCAGCCCTCCACTAAGAGTATGTGATGAGGCTTCAGGGAACCGTATGGATCAGTTAAGGAGTCAGATGCATCTCTCAAGTTCTGTGTCAGGTGTTTGCAGGATGCTTTCCCATATTTTTCCAGGACATGACTTTCAGATACTGTTTGTCCTCAACACACAGTACACCATTTCAAGGAATGCCAATTTTTTAAATCTAATAGCTCTTTGGGAATCACCTTGTTGGTGCAAAGATAGTATTTTTCAAAGTGTGTTATCTTTGGCAGTTATTTATAGATTCAACTAAAGAAATGGGAACTGTTTTTGTGACAGGCTACTAGTAACAAAGTGGCAAATGGTACGTTACATGTAGATGAGTCATGTGTAGACAGAACACTGGCTCATGCATTGAGTTACATACCTTTTCATGTCCAAAGAAACATTTGAAAAGATATTCATAAAGTCTGGAGAACTGTTGCTCAAGACTGCTTTTAAAATGAAATAAAGTCAAGCTTGGAAGCAAAAATAAGAGTAAAATGTTTTTTCCTGTTGCCCATCTTGCATTTTGTTGATGACCTTTACGTTTAACTGGCCTTGAGTAGTTTTAAAATTTAAACCTATTCAGTGCCATTTTCAACATATTATTTATTTGCCCTTATTATGTGGATCAATGGAAGAGCATTTCTCTGTATTTGCAACTCATTTCTATGTTAAAGGTTTTCAAAAGCAGAAGGGCCAAACAATCATCGCACAAACCAGACCCACTCACCACAGCGGTGGCATCGGCCACTCCAAATGTGGCCTTCTGTCTCCGTCCTGTGATGTGGCTGCTGTTTTCCTGTATCTTCTCCAACAGCTGACGCACCGGCTTGGAGTAATTGGCCACTTTGCATTCCTTCAGGAACGCTTTCAGCTGCAGGGACATGGAGGAGGTGCATGAGAAGGTAAGAACAAGCACAAAGGATGATTATTGTTTCCCCTAAAGGAAGCTGATTCGGTTCAGCAGATACTGAATCATATATTCAGGTGAAAAACTTTGGGAATAGCACTCAGTGTCATTGTCACTTTTTTAGACAATTGCTAAGTCAAAAAAATAAATCAATTCTAGTCTGCTTTAAGATCACTTTGAAGTATGCCTCACCTGAATGATGGTGGGCAAGGCGAGCTCAGGGAACCCGATGGAGCTGGCCTGAGTGTGGAAGTAATCTAGTATCAGGTCGTACAGCTGGTCAATCATCCCGTCCTAAAACACATCAGGACAGCAACGATCATAAACAATGTTCACAATTTACAAAATGACATCATTTTCCTATTTCATGTGAAACTAACTCGAGTGGATCTATGGAAGCATCTTCCTCGCTGCAAATTAATCACGCCAATAGCTTTTCCCAGCCTGGTATTAACATTTAAATGTTTACTAACCAAGAATCAATAATGCATTACAAGCTGTTTTAATTGATCTGTGTCTCTATCCAGATCTATTTTGGGAAGATTTAATGTTGAACTTCTAGTATGCAGTGTTTGTGTTCATGGATATTGGCATTTTTGGGACAGACAATATACTTCCTGCTTATTGGTCGGGGCTAACTTAAAATAAGTCTCCAAACCAATCACATCTCGCTTAGCATGACGTCTATACCAGTGAACAGAAACAAAGTGCAACATTCACATAAGCTAAAGTTTTATTTTATATGAACTCACTAAATCACTCAAACAGTGTGAGCTGATGTGTCTGCATCACCCTGCCATTAGGAGTGATGCAGTGATGAGTGGCTAACACTGGAGCCAATACTGAACGACTGTGTTTTCACTGAAAAGCAGAAAGGAGTCTATATGAACGACAAACTGCGCAAGTCTACACTGGCAACAATAAGCAAGCAAAATGCGATTACTGGCCAGCACATTATCACAATGTTGTGCTAATCAATATACTCTGTTTGCAATGTATAGTGCTAGCACACAGATCCATCACAGCTGTGGATGTGTGTGTCCCTGGGACATGAAGTCACCTCCGGCTTATAAACAGGAGATCAAATGGTTACCATTTAGGTAATATACCAAAAAGTAACATGACTAGCCGAGACGCCGCCCCAGGAAAACCAAACGCATTGAAAATAATTACAGTGTAGCATCAACAGCTTGAAGGCTGAAGAGCAGCCAGGTTTCCACAGCAGCTGCATCTACATGTCGATACGGCAAAGACTGGGAAAGGCACTGGGTACCAGTACACTAGCTTGACCCCAGAGGCAGGATTTGGTTCTCCTCCTGGTCTTGAACAGACAATCTTTTTGCACGTAATGCTAACTTTGTTAACCGCTACACCACAGAGCCACTATGTGACGGTAACAGTGTACAAACTTTAGCACTTCATAACAGCTATATTCTCTATCAACACAGACTAAAAACAAATAGGAAACCACAGAAAAGCAACCTGAGATTACCAATTGTGTTACTCAGAGCTCCCTGTAGCCCCTAAACCTTTTAAAGGTTCAGGGCAAATGAGGACCTACTTTATACAACAACAACAACAACAACAACAACTACTATTACTATTATTATTACTATTATTATTATTAATATTACTATTATTATTATTATTATTATTATTTAGCCTTTAGTAAAAGCTGAATACATAAAGATGCCATCTACAGGGCTAGAAGTTAAGCTGCCTTTCTGTGAAATAAAACATCTGAAGCCTGTGTGGACTGAGAGGTGCTCTGATTCAGACCGATCTGTTTGTTCGGTCAGGTCTGCTGTGTGTTTACGAGACGGGGGTTCACGGCAGTTGCCTGGGTGACAGCGGTGAGAACAGACCTAGCGAGCGGAGTGCGGGGGATAATCCCACAGAGCTGCAATCCTCTTGGCTGCAGCACTGAGCGAGGTGACTCAGGGTCAGTCTGAGAGCTCTGACTTTCAGCGCTGTCCTCAATCCACACCCACTCTGTCACAGAGTAGCACTAAAATAACTAAGACTCCAGGAGCTGCTCCATCTCAGCACACTAAAGACAGAATCAGCAGGAACCGCTGTATACCAGCTATAAAGAAGTACCTGGTCTAACACTCTTAACACTAGCGGTCACAGTAACACTTACCTTGTAGGCTTTCTCGATTAGGTTGACCTTGTTAAGCTTCAGGATGACTGCAAAGTTGATGGGTTTCTTACTTATTCGTCCGGGTTTCTTGTTGAAATCAACTTGCTGGAAGATCTGTAAGAGGAGACAAAAAGTAAACTCTGATCTACTCATACAACAGTGTAGTGCATACCATCTCAAATATAAAACATGCTCTTTTTAATCAGTCTGTCAGTCTCTTTGTTTGCATTTTTTAAAAAGGATGCAGATTTTGGTATGAGTAACATCCACCTGTTTTCTCAACTATCCAATCCAGACACATCCCTTAATGAAGGAATCAATAATGCAGGTTGGGCCTACAAATGTCATAATTAACATCACTATTAATTAAACCAATTAGCTAATAAATCTGTTTTATCTGTGAGAAACCAAGTCCACAGCTACTGCTTGCATAGGACTTAAGAGGGTAAGTAGCAGCCAGGTGCTGCTAATCAAATGCACTTGAATTATTGATCATCAGCGAGTGTGAGCACCTCTCTAAAAGCAGAAGCTTTGCTGGTCCGCAGTATTTAGACGTGTTTTAACATAATCCCAAGAATAAAAGACATCAACAGTGATCTTAGAGAACCAATTGTTGCTGCCCATCAAACTGGGATGGGATCTACTGTTAAGTGAAAAACAAGACCGTTGCCAATCTTCCCAGGACTGGATGTTCCAGTAAATTCACCCCAGGATCAGACCATGCAATGCTCTGCAGGCTGTAGTTAGCATGTTAAATGTCAAAGCTAATGACAGTACAGATAGAAAAAGACTGAACAAGTGTGGTGCTTGTTGACAAGAGGGGGTGTCTTCTCTCTTAAAAGAACACGGCGGCACGGCTTAAGTTAAGCTGCATTTGAACAAACCACAAGATTTCTGGAACGATGTCCTTTGGACCGATGAGACCAAAGTGAAGATGTTTGGCTGCAACGATGCCCCAGTGCCATGTATGAAAAAGAAAAACAAATCCAGCATATCAGCTCAAACACTTCAGGTTAACTGTCACGCACGGTAGTGGAGGAGTGATGATCTGGGTTGTTTTGCAGCCACAGCACTTTGCAGTCATTGAGTCAAACATGAACCCCCACTGTGCACCAAATGCTCGAGTCAAATGTGAGACCGTCTGTCTGACAGCTGGCTGAAACTGGGTAATTTAACGGGACAATCATCCCAATCACCGCAGGAGATCTACAGCAGAATGGCTAAAAAAAGGAAAACGACGGTGTTGCAAAGGTCAAGTAAAAGTCCAGACCTCAACCAGACTGAAATGCAGTGGCAGGACCTTAAGAGAAAGTCATATAGAAAACAATTGCTTCAAGTTAAAAGTGGTTCTACAAGCAACTGAATCATATGGTGTGCTTAGTTTTTCAAGTCCAGCGGAAACTTTATCTCCTGGCTGTAGGTTGATATTTGGAACTGCTTCTACACGTTAATAAAAGCCGCGACCGTCTCTGTCTTGAGTAAATCCGCATTCAACTTGCTATTCTTCAAAGACAACGCAGCTAAAGAAAACATTTATTCTGCGGGATGCTGAAAGTGTTTTGACAATTATCAGTCAGCGCAGCTCATTTTAAATACTGCAGTGTTACTGAGATGACACATTTCTATCTTAGTCTGTGAAAGTACATTCTAGCCAACGTGTGGGCTATTTGTCTACAAGCTTTAGCTTTCACATCTGCCCACAGTGCGCAAGTGAATTTCTGTCTTGTATTTGTGTATCAAGCTATTTCTGACTCCCTGTATCTCTGTGCATGTGTGTGTGTGTGTGTGTGTGTGGTCGTTAATGCTCGCTGTGCGCGAAGCAGAGCAACGCTCCTGGCCGGTGCTGTCTGTACAAACATAGGATGTGGTGGCGGTCTGCGGGGGAGCCAGGGGAAGTGGGAAGGCATGGGCCAACCCTGGTGCACTCTCTCTCTCTCTCTCTCTCTCTCACACACACACACACACACACACACACACGCACACGCATGCACACAGCACACAAGCAGGAAGCTCCAAATCATACACCCCCCTCGGAGATACGAGAACACACACACAGGCACAGACACACAGGAGGAAGGGGCTGCTTTTGCTGTTCTAATTAAAACAGTAGCAGCGTACCTCAGCCTGACTTTAACAAGGGGAACAGTAAAGGAGAAAAAACACAGGAAGCATTGTGCGTCACAAATAAACACAGCTTGCTGTTGGGGGTTAGATGGAGCGAGGGAGGCGGGGGTCGGAGTGTATCTGTGTGTATGACGGGGAGAGAAGTGGGGAGTGGGCCATAGGCAGAGAGGATGTGGTCTGCACAGCATGTTAGGACCAGAGTGTAAACCACAACCGTGTCTTTATCGCTTCGGTCAAACTGCTGCATGCACACAAACACATACAGACAGACGTGCGCTGACCACTCCCAGCGGGCCGAGCCAGTCGCCAGCACATGTCTCTCCTCCAGCAAACCACAACAAAGCCGCACAGCGTGCATAAAAACTTGCGCACAAAGGCACACTATGCGGTCACGTGACTAGCACCTGATCCAGAGAAGATGTTGTCAGTTGGTGACCCGTGATTGGTCTGATAACAAAGGTGTCTCTCACAGCTCTACCCTTTGAATGTTTCCTCCTGAGCTTCTACAGTTGTGGCCGTTGAGACCAAAGTGCATTTCGTATGCCACTGATGTTTTTCCGCAGCAAACCACCGACGGAACATTTCATCACATCTACCTTTTCATTGTTTCCATTTCACCAAAGTCAGCCAACGGGCTGTTTATTGTAGATTATCTCAAACTATCCGAGGGCCTCAAGTTGTGTGTCGGTGCGAGAGACTCGGGCCACTGGAAACCTGACCCCTCACTGATACGCTGTTAGCTCTGCACGCTGGTTACTTGAGATGACGTGAAGCCTTACCTCCAAGAGGAAAGGCAGAACGGGCACAAACGTGTTGGTGCTGCCAGACAGCAGAGTGAGCGCTCTGCAACAGTGCATCCTCAGAGGGTAATATCTCGCTGTGGGAACCAGTCTGAAAGAGAAAATAGTGATCAATGTCTCCACCTGCTGTTGGCAACGTGTACAAAAAAAATAAAAATAATTCTCTTCCAAGATTTTGAAAGCAACACAGTTACAAAAAATTTGGGTGAAGGAACCACAAAATATATTTTTAAAAAAATGCAGATTGCAGGAGTACAAACAACGGTTCATCTCATTAGGTAAACCTGTTCATGTTTCTTAATGCAAAGATCTAATCAGCCAACCCAAAGGCATACACGTGCCTTCTGACAGAGTATTTCAGAAACTGTTAATCTACTGCGATTTTCCTGTGCAATCATCCTAAGGTTTACAGGGAACATTCCCAAAAAGAGAAAATATCCTACGCGAGGCAGATCTTTGGGCAGAAATCACTTGCTACTTTTAAGGATCAGAGGAGCTTGGATGCTTTAAGAAAGACAACAGTAAGTCAAATCACAGTAAGTCATTATAGCCAAGGTATGCAGAAGAGCAGCTCTGAAGACCACTCCCATCCCAACAGGAAGCTGAGGCTACAATTCACACAGACTGACAAAATTTTTTTAAATGTTTCCTGGTCCAAGGAGTCTCAGTTTCTGCTGCAACATTCAGATGTTAAGGTCAGAACTACATGAAAGCTTGGATCCATCCTGCCTTCAATCAAATTTCCTTGGCTCACTTTGGGCCCCTCAGTACCAACTGAGCATCATTTAAACGCTACTTCTACTTGAATACTGAATCACGTCCATCTCAGACTGCACCCATCTTCTGATGGCTGCTTCCAGCAGGATAACGCACCATGTCACAAAGCTCAAATCTCAAACTGGTTCCTTGAACATGACGATGTACTCAAACATTCATCAGATCTCAATCCATCACAGCATCTTTGGGATGTGGTGGAACGAGAAAGTGACATCATGGATTTACACCCAACAAATTGCCAACAACTGTGTGATGTCATCATGTCAATATGGACCAAAGCAGGAATGTTTCCAGCAGCTTGTTGAATTTATGCCACAACGAATTAAGCTAGTTCTAAAAGCAAATGGAGGTGCTAGCGAGGTGTAACATAAGTGTATGATATAATATAAGTGGCTGTTTAGTGTGTATTTGAAGCCAAGTCGTGGCTTTATTTATACATCAGACTCTGGGGTTGAGTTTTTAATCTTTTAAAAGCTTTTTTTCCCTAACATATTTATGTATACTTACTTCATGGTGCCAATTATGACTTGGCAGAGTGGATAGATCAGAGGCTGCAGTACCTCACTGGGGTGGAGTGTGCTCAGGACCCGACACCACAGGAACAGACAGTGAATATACTGCCAGTTATAAACTGATTGATATGTTTCCTATTAAAGAAAAAAAGGGGTCAAATGTGAATGAGGGTGAGCATCTATATAGCAGAGAATAGCTCTGTGTCACTGCACGTGGTTGCTCAGTCAGTATATAGCTTTAAATCACTTTAGTAAACTGGACTAAGCTCCAATCATACATCCCCGTTTTTGTGCATGAGCATTTCGAAAGCAAATATATATTTGAATTTTATATAATTACAAAAACCAATCCTTAAATTGAAGCCCTAAATGACTCAAGGCAGATGTATACTTGTCAGTCTCTATAAATACTGTTTTATGTGAGCACAAACAGCAAAAAGAAGCCAAACAACCTTCTTCTTCATGGTCATGGCGTTTCTGAGATGAATGGCCAGCTGTCGGATATAGATGAAGGCGTGCTGGTAAGTGACCTGCGTGTCCAGGGCATACATCTCTGTCAGAGTTCTCTGCATGAAGTTGATCATGGGCAGCACGTTGGGAGATGTGAACTTGCAGTTTTGTACATAAGAAATGTACATTTGCTGCAAAGAGGAAGACGGTTATTCTTAAGAAGCCCAGGCTGGATGTGCTTTTCCCCCCCTTTTGCCTCAGTAAAGATCCAGGTTTGTTGTGAACACCTCAATTACTGCAGCTCACCTTAAGAATCGGGTTGAGGTACGTTTCCTGTTTCTGGCGGCAGATTTTATTGAGGGCCAGGAAGGCAAGAACCCGACTCGTCTCTTCCCCCGTGCTCCACTGCTTCATTAGTTGCTGGAGTCAGAAACAGGAAAAGGAAACAAAAACAAAGACACATTAAGACATCATTTGTCAATAAATACTGACATATTTTACTCCGTGTCATCAAGCTAAGGTGGAGGTCTCACCTTAATCAGGTGGCGACACTGTTTGGGTAGACACAAGTAATACGGTACGAGCTGGTTGGTGTGCTTCAGGACCGCGCAGATGACCGTAGCCTCCGTTAGGCTGGATAACAGCTGCAGTTGGGAAACAAGAAATAATTTGAAAGCAAATATTCACAAAAATGAATCCCTGTATTCTGTATTTCATGTATCTGCCTCACAGGAACACACGGGCCTGAAATCTAAGTGGTGAAAAACAAAGAGACACATGAAGTAAAGAGCAAACCTGAACCACTCCACTGAGATACATCTTTATGTCCATCTGATTCTTCTGCCATCTTGGACTAGACGAAGGAAGCACTGACCTGCGAACAAACCGCAAGACAAACAAAGAAATGAGTGAACAGGTTTTCTTTTCCCTCTTCTCAGCTACACCGAGACAATCGATGAGAAATGAGACGAGTGTGAATATTGTGGATTTTGTACTTTTTTTGGTCTTTATCTGCCTTCAGGTTAAGCATCCTCTGCAGAGCTCCGTGGATATCTTTGATGCAGAACAGGACCAAAGCATTGAACACTGCAGACAGAAAAAGAACATCATGCATGCTTAAGTGTTGTATCTCTCATAAATAGCACAAGGAGTGAATATTAATGTGCTTATGTCATCACAATAACACAATTCTAGAAACAATCGATCTTTAAAGGAAAGATTGAAGAACTGCCAGAGGACTTTTTGTAACTGATAAACTGTGTTTTCAATTTCTTCTCTTATGAGCTTCTTACGGAGCGCTTAAAACGTTAAAATGAACATTAAATCTGCACTGTAGATACATCGTAACATAAACCCTCTGAAACACTACAATGTAACCTGATGTGCAAATGTAACTGTACATTTTGCAGTTACATTTGTAACTACAAATATAACCGCTACTGTGATTGGCCTGTTCGATACTCTTAATTCCTCCTGTGCATTTACCACATTTTTTTTATTTTTTATTTGTTAACTACACTTTTTTAAATTTATCAGTCAGAGAATAAAAATGACCACCTCAACATGAGGACTCAGAGATGTCAGCAAATTTCCAACTGCAGATTCCCAGAAGTATCAGAATGGAGATGAACGAATGTTCAAAAAAGTGAAAAACAAAAGCCCCCCCACAAAAAACAAAAAAACCCCAAAACAAAACAAAAAATAAAACCCCACCTGACAACAATAACAACAAGTCCAGGCATTTTATATATTTCTATCGTGGCTGGCACTGCATAAACAACCTCAGGGACACGACTACAAGCTAATTAATGAGTAAAATATCACACAAAAGCATGAACGCTTCCAACAGCATGTGACAAGTCATTAAGGACTGACAACAAATTATGGTTAAATTATTAAATTCGCTAGGTATTCCCTTACTGGTTGGTGATTGGTTGCCCGTTGCTAGCAGATCACAGCAGTCGACAGCAGTTTGTATGGAAGATGCTGAACTGTCTCCACTTACATTTTAACTACTGATTTTATCTATTGTTCTGATTTTATCTGTTTTGATTTTATATACTGTTTTGTTTGTTTGTTTGTTTGTTTGTTAATTAGTTTGTTTGTTTGTTTGCTTGTTTTAATCAATTTTAAATCATGCTTTTTATTTGTTTTTGTTTCTAATGTCTCTGTAAAGCACTTTGAATCACCTTGTTGTTGAATTGTGCTATACAAATAAACTTGCCTTGCCTTGCATCACTGTATACCTCTTTTAGCCCTTTTAAAAGAGGTCCTTTAGCCATTTTCTATCAGTACATAGTTGGATCCACTCGTTTTCCAGTGGCCCCATCTATTGTGTATAGGGTCGTGATAGCAGTGGGTCCAAACGTCCCGTGGACGTTACGCCGATGGTATACCTGCTGCTCGGTGTATGGCTTTTTAATCAGACTTGAGGACCACTGTGTTTCCTTGTTGCTTGGATTCAAAACTGGCTGTTTTGATTTTCATGAAGGAGATGCTCTCATGACCAATGACTTTTTCAGATTGCTTGAAACCCCGGCCGAGTAGGTACTACAAAAGTACGTGGTACCAGGTACTACCACATAATGAAAAACCCCAAAAACCAAGTCGATCTGATCCGAGGAGGTACTAATGGAAAAGGGCTATTTAAGACCAACTACTCACAGAATTAAAACTTTCACATAGCAATCAATGGTTGGCAGGGGTCACTGACCCCCCTCTCTACGACTGCATAAATAGTGCTTTCAACAATCACTTGCTTACCGGTTGGAGAACACACATTTTTCCTTTGTGACTGTTGGATGGTAAATGGTTGCTGACAGGCCTCTAGGCCTGTGTGACTGGTGTTTTAATTTCAAACTAAACTGTTATATACCCATATATACATGAATACAGATATGAGGACCCACCTGAGCTGTCAGCTACTTTGTAGCGGCACTGACCGCCCTCTTCACCCTTCGTTGTGGCGACAGCAGCCTTGAAGGCCTGCGTGACTTCTCTGAAGAGATGAGCTGTGGGTTCTTTCTTCATGGCCGCTTTCCAGTCGTCTATCATTTTGTCTGTGACTTTGATAGTATCTGCTCCCTTCTTGGCTTTCTTTGAACTTTTTGCAGCATATTCATCGTCATCATCTTCTTCATCCCCAGAGCTGGCCTCCTACAAACATGTAAAACAGCAGCATGAGGATCTCCTAATTTCCAAAAGAACTCACACCAGAAAGTAAGTAGCCCTCTTACCTCCAGTTTAGATGGTAGTTTGTGGTACCCTCTCTCGTCTTCATCGTCTGAGCTGTCGGTGTCGTCAAAATTTAAAAGCGCCTGGTCGTTTTCCTGCAGAAACTTGTAGAACTCGGGATCTTTGCTCTTTAACCTGGACAGCTGCTCCTTGTGCTGAGAGGCCTTACCTTTAGACTTTTGATCTCTACAAATACAGAGTATGTACAAAACGAATTACAGAACTTTGAGACATTTTCTGCATTTGCACTTTTCTAACAGTACATCATACAGAAAAGAATAATCAGGCCCCCTGGAAATTACGCCCCTGCCAAAGCATCTCAGTCGGGTTAGGACTTTGACTTTGATTAGGCCAGGCAGCACATATAGCAGAATAGTACCATAGCTAAAGGGGTGTGAAGTCAGTTGGTGAGTCTGAAAAGTAAATGGATATGCCCCCAATTGAACAGAATACAATATCCAAACATTTTACACTGGAAAATGCTGCACGTGTGTATACCCGTATCAGAGCGTGCCCACATTTAAGATTATGTTTCACCCCCTAAAGGTCTCTAAATATAAGGACTCACTTCTTAGGGCTTGGAGAGTTCTGATCTGTCTTCTTCTTGAGCCCATTCTGTTTGGGAGGCTCTTCGTCAGATTCAAAGCCTGTCAGCAGGAACTCATCCACACTCAAGTCTTCTAATTTCCTACAAGAAAGAAAACAATCCATAAGAAGCAAGTCGATCAAAAATGTGTGTGTGGTCTAACTGTCCTACAGTTTTTAAGTTCACGTGTAAGCATTTTGTTGGTTAGCTGTTCACTTGTCAGTCAGATGCAAATATCTCCCTAAAACACTCAGGAACCTTGTATTATTATTATTATTATTATTATTATTGTTATTGTTATTATTATTATTATTATTATTATTATTGTTATTATTATTATTAATATTTTCATGAAGCGAAACCACACTTAGAATACAGCAGTCGTATTCGAGTTAGCATGACGACTTTATGCTAGCACTTTAGTTACTAACATACAGCCGTAAAGAGTTAGAATGACTTTCACGACTAACTGGCCAGACTTTAACTTTCAACATCAACATCAACATCAACATAAAATACTGGGTAAATCTCATTGTATTCATAGCATAATAAAGAAAATATTAACAAACCTCTTCTGTTTCGCTGCCATGCTGGATCTAAAAAACGTGACGCCAAACCGCAATACCCACAATCCTCTGGTGCAAAGCGATGGAATTGGTTTTATGTTTCGCGGATACTGATCGTATGACGGTAGTTGCGTTTATAATTACACCGACTAACCGAAACATTATTATTTTTGATAAAATGCTAACGAACTTTATTTGTTTAGTTTTTGATGAAAGTAAAGTTGGCACAAATACAGTGAACAAATAATCAACTGATTATTTAAAACAAATATACGATAGTGCGTTCACGGAAACCTCGAAATTTTCTTGCGCGTGCAAGATCGGACACTGTTTTGATGCAACACGTGAGGTTTAAATAAAATGTTCAGCTGCATTTACCAGACACAGGAAGCCAAATATCCAGAGAGGAGTACAGTATTTTTTAAACGTTACTTTGCACGGCCTCAAAGCTGGGCAAGCTTACAAACCGAAGGAAGTCACTGCTGTCATCGCATCGACACCGACGACGGCTGGTCGTGAGTACCCTGTGCTTTAATTTTTTTTCAGGTTAGCTAACGTTAGCTTAGCGGCTAGCTTCATAGACAGCTTATTTAGAATCACTGGCTATCTCACGTAGAGATAATAAAGACAGGGTGCTTATTTTACGTCAGTAGTAGGGTGATAAGTGTATAATTTGCACGTAAGTAACGAGGAAAAAATTACAGAAGCTGTGCATTATTGAACACGTTTGTAGTTATGTTTCATTTTATTTTCCGGGCTAACCAAAACGGGGTATGTTTCATATTGTGGCCAATCACAGCGCGTCACTGAAAACTCCGCCTTTCACAGTAGCACAGACGGATACGCCGAACACACTTCCGTGTTCCGACAAGACAAAAGTGGTGGCTTAAGGTCGCGTGTGTCTGTGGGCTCGTAAACTGAACATTCACTGCATTAGTTTGCCGGTTGGTCCTTTGAAATGACATACCGGTGTTTTTCAACCATGTCTTCCTTTTTAACGTATTAAAATTTAACAGCATGAGCAACCCTTGCTACCTTCGGCTTCGACAATTACAGGGCCACCTTAACAGACCGATGTCAGCTTTCAGGCAGCTCTTTTTTTTTGCATTGACGTCAAGCACATACAGCACAAAACAGAGGCTTTCTTCATATTTCCTATGCTCGAGTCACAATATGGACCGATAAGTAGACGGTGATAGGATTTTAGAGCCTTCTGACTGCGACAGCTCTTCATTCATCTCCCCTTACCTCCTGGAACACACTGTCTTCAAGGATAACTGCAAAACAACCACCGGTAAAGCCATTATACATTCATTTTCTTTCCTATTGCCGCTGCTGCAGCTGACATATGCTCTTATTCAGTGCTGATGGAGTGGGGGTTGGGGTTTCCGTAGATCACATAGTGATATTTGGATAGGAACATCCCTGTGTCCCCCAATGAAATTGTGCATTCAGCAGGATTGTGCAGGCACTATTTATCAAGGAGCAACTCAGCCTCTGTGTGGATACCAGCCAGGGTTTGGGGGTAGAGACAATAAAGGGAGAAACAAGCCTCAGATGAACAGGACAAGTGTTTCAGTTTGTTAGTTTAACTGTGACAGTTGTTTTCACATCTACCACAACATCCCGTGTTTCCATGTCTCATTTTCCAGCATTGTCTCTTACTATTCCCTTGGGCATGAGAGCAGATTGTTCCCTCATAGAGGAACATGGCTGGTGTGCGTGTTTTTGTTTTTTTTAATGGGCTATTGTGTTTTGGAAAATGGGACCCAGGGGTAGTAGCCAGGCAGCTGTGATGACATTTGAGATGGTGCTCGGTGGGATGGGGGAAGAGTGTTGAATTGAAAGCGACAGAGCCGTTGTTAGGATGTACTGATCATAACAGGGAACTGCTTATTTGACAGTCATGTGAAACTTAACATAATCAGGAAAAATGATACAATGGGTTTCAGCATTGAGCATTGCACTTCTTGGACTTCAAACTGGTCAATATTCTCTCCTGATGAGATTCTGCTTGTTGCATAATTGCTCTGATTAACTCAAGATTGTAAACCTCCTGTCATATGTCTAAATAAAGCATACAGAGGCTGTTTGTATGTGGTGGTTCAAAGGGAATGTTCCAGCTTGGTGTATTAAATAGATATCCTAAGGTATGTGTGATTTTTATTTATTTGTTTAATGTGTGTGGCTGTAAGGTCCTGCAGGCAATGACCACACTTATCAGGGGTCCTGTAGTTTAAGAATCCTTCCTTATCATTAAAGTTTAAACGTATATCACATATATTCCTTTATTTTCAATCATATAAGTTCTTCTACACCTGTGAATGCTCACATTAAATAACAGCAAAGTTTAAAATAATGACATCAGTCTAAGTACAGCTAATATATTTAAGCAAAAAAAAAAAGTCTAAATGTATGGTTACTGTGATTTCTTTTTCACTTTTGGCTGATATCCTAAATATTGTCATCTCTGATACAGCACCTCTGGCTGTGAGAAGAGCAGCCCCACCAAACCGGCTGTTCAGACCGTATGTTTTGCGAAGAGCAGTCCAATCAGAAGGCCAGTCAGATCAATTGATTTAAAAGAAGAGCATGTAAAATAGTGTTTCTGTGTTTATCTGGGGCTGGGTGGTAGGGGCAGCAGTCTAAGCCGAGAAGTTGGTCTCTTAAGCCACATCCTCGATCTTATCCAGGGGAACATTGAAGGGTTCCCAGGCAAGGGAAGGAGCTTGAGGGAGAGCCCCTTGTAGCCACATTTTAATTATTCGTCTGAACGCAGGGCGAACCAGCGTCTGCTCAGTGGCTGAATACTTGCAAATCACTTGCCAGCAAGAATTCAGTGTTCCTCTGTTTCACACTCACATCCACTCCTCGCTTGTCAGGTCAGGTTTCAAATGGAAAAGATGGTAGTGATGTTGTGCTGGCTGTGTCCATCTTTCATATGTGTGTGTGTGTATGCATGCATGCGTTAGTCCCCGTAGGGAAATTACTCCTCTGCATTTAACCCATTCACCCAGTGAAGCAGTGGGCAGCCACCACTGCAGCGCCCGGGGAGCAGTGTGTAGGGACAGTACCTTGCTCAGGGGTACCTCAGGGTAGCTGTTCAGTGGAGTCGAACCCCCGACCTTCCGGTCATGGGGCAACCACTCTACCTACTGAGCTATCCCTGCCCCCCCCCCTTTTTTTTTTTTAATTAAAGGCATTATGTGTGTGTATGCGTTAGTCTGTGTATGTGTTATATACAGTTTATGGGTTGAATTGTGGGCTCCATGGTCCTGTTCATCCCAGATAAATAATCCTTTTTTTAGCTGCATTAGATAAATAAGAATTATTTGAAAGCTATTCTTCAAAGGTTACAAATGTGGAGCTGCAAATGAGAATGAAGGTTATATTTTTGATAGCGTGGCCTCCCCAACCCCATAGTCAGCTTCTGCTTATAAGCCTTTCACACTTTTAAGGTATCACTGCATCGGAGTTAGTGCATTATGTTTTGTTTTTGTTAAGAATCAGTCTGTTCTTGGCCTGTGGTTTTCTACTCTTGCTTCAATCTGGTTTCCTCATCTGGTCACTACATATTCATCAGACAACAACTTCTAAGATGCTGCGTGATGACAGTTATGCAACATGCAGAAGTGTGTTCTTCCATTCAAGAGCAGAGTGGGGGAGTTCACAGCTAAATGTGGTCCAATTAAATTGCAAGTCAGGATGGATCACACTGATTTGATGGCAGGCTCATGCATAATGTCCATCTTTTGAAACTCTCTGCTGTGTCATAGTGAGATCTAATCATTCCTGAGACTGAATGTGAAATAATCAGGCCATCCATCCTACTACACTTTGTGATTGTACTCAGATTTCTGTCATGCTGGCAGGACTTCCTGTCATAGCCGACAGGATGGGTGCTATAACTGTAATGATAGGTACAATGATTGCCCAGGACACCTGTCATAACGGCTCACTCCCTATAGATGAGCAAAGCCAAGACTTTTGTCTACCCCCCAAAAAAAGGATTTTATTATGATGATGATATTAGTATTGGCCGACATTAAAAAGCTTTTCTTGACGTTTCAGTTGCCAAGAGTGCGGCCCAGGCACGAGCCCACGACCGCAACGTCAGGCACCATGATGGAGGGGGGCATGCAGCTGCTCAACCGTGATGGCCACAGCATCTCGCACAACTCAAAGCGCCACTACCACGACTCCTTCGTGTCCATGAACCGGATGCGACAGCGTGGCTTGCTATGCGACATCGTCCTTCATGTCTCCAACAAAGAAATCAAGGCGCACAAAGTGGTGCTGGCGTCCTGCAGTCCATACTTCCACGCTATGTTTACCAGTAAGTTCAGTCTGTGTTATGGACCTTGATGATGCATATACTGTATACTGTCCCTGAAGTTAACAAAGATGAGCAAGTGGCATGACAAACTCAAACTGCAAACTATTTTTCTCTGTTGTTTGAGTTTGTTCACATTAGAACTTGTTTTTGCGTGGGTGCGTGCCGTTATGGCTGTTCCATCCTTTCAGCATCATCGCTTCCTTCCACCTATTCCTGTCTGGGGCACAGGTGGTCATGTGAGGTGTGTGTAAGTCAGATTTCCTCCCAAACACTAGCCCTTTGTGAGGATGCTGTGTGTCTCCAGACAGTCATTTGCCTGGAGACTCAGCTGCTAGACTTCATGTCATCTGACAGAGTCCCTAATTAAGCTATTTTAACAGAAAACCTCAGCAGAGGTGTTTGTGAGGTTGTCTAACTATGAGTCGATGAAGCTCGTGACTGTTACCGTAGAAGCTCCAGGCTTAGTTCTGTGGGAGAGAGAGTGTTTATATCCAGGAATTTCAAGAATCTCACACACTTGAAACGACTGATTTAATAAACGGTAACAAATGAGCTGTGCTGACATTTTGCAGCAGTGCTGTAAATGTTATGAGATGCCATGTGTCAGTATGATTGAAGAGGGAGGAGTTTTGCTATCAGCTGGAGCTTTACTCGGTGTAATTTGTTAAAATTAATCTGATCTCATTCTGTGCGGCCACACAGATGAGATGTCTGAGAGCCGTCAGACCCACGTGACCCTTCACGACATTGACCCTCAGGCTTTGGAGCAGCTGGTCCAGTATGCCTACACAGCAGAGATTGTGGTCGGGGAAGGAAATGTGCAGGTAGGCTTGACGTTTTAAGATTCACATACACAACTGCTAAACCACTTTTTTCTTTCTTTTTCATATGGCACAAAAAAATTAACAGACTTTGCGTTTCCACCTGTTGTAGACACTGCTCCCAGCAGCGAGCCTGTTGCAGCTCAATGGGGTGCGCGACGCCTGCTGTAAGTTCCTCCTCAGCCAGCTGGACCCCTCAAACTGCCTGGGCATCCGAGGCTTCGCTGACACACACTCCTGCAGCGACCTGCTCAAGTCAGCACACAAGTATGTCCTGCAGCACTTTGTGGAGGTGTCCAAGACTGAGGAGTTCATGCTGCTGCCACTGAAACAGGTAGGGGTGATGATTAATCAATCATGAATAATGCCAAAGCACAAAGGACACACAGCAATGCTTACATCTATAATTTTTCCCCAGCATAATGTATACACAAGCACAGCTTTTTCTTTTTTAAACTGCATCAACATGCCACGGGGAAGTTGTGTGCTTTTGACATTCACTAGAGAAACTTTTTCTCCTGCCTGTTTTCACTGTCTTCTGCGGTTTTGTCATCTGGCAAGTCGGCTAAGCCAAACTATCACTTATTCATTAGCAGGGCTCAGCGGTGGCAGCACTCTGGTTCCTGTCTGGGAAGTGGTAATTAGGCAAAGCCAGTGACATTTCCACAGCTGCTGTGCTGTTTAGAGAGCTAACAGCAGTGTTTGCTCCTCTGACGTAACAATAATGGTTTCTATTTTGGTTCAATTAATTTGCTTTTGCTTGTTTTAACCAAGGTTTTAAGGGAAATGCAACTTGTAGGTGTACCCATTTATTTTAGAGCGATGTAAGGAATGCTGGGCCTTGGGAAAGAATATAACCCTGGTCAAATGAGCTGCTCAGCAGCCAAACACTGCTATCAGTTACCTGTGAAGAGGGCAATGTTTGGCTAACAAGAACTGCAAAGTCCTTTTTGGAGTAGATCCCGAAGGAGTGAAAATATTTTTTAAAAAGTTGTTGCCCAAAATTGTAGCAGAAAAGGCAGAAACATACGCTAGCTTCTTACTGCAAAGTGATACAAAATCCAGCGGGACATCCTGGCATATTGTATTTGACATTTATGTGTTGGTATTAGTCTATTCCTGGCATGCTAAAGAATAAAGTAGTGCTGCTGTTGGGTTATTTAAACTTCCTGTTTCCTGCAGTTTAAACACACCTACCTGAGTACAAAGTTTACATGTTTTTATTTTTAAACTTTTAGAGCAATTCGTGGTTTTTTTTAATTTTTTTTTTAATTGTGTTCATGATATCAGACAGCTTCTAAAAGCCCACAGAGGCACATCATGTTTTTGTTTCAGGCAGGGGCTCACTGTAACATCTAAAGAATTGAGAAAATATATATTTTGTTAGATGAAATGTTTAAGAAGATAACAGCAAATTAAAAGGAAGTTGAAGAAAATTAACAAACTGCTACTACCATCCCTTTCCCGTTATTTTCTCACTCTTTAAATAACAATTCCCACAGTCCTAAAGCGATGTTGTTCCACCAGAGTAACACACTAAGCTTCCCTCTGTATCTGGCCTTCAAAGCCCCGAGACTGAATCTGCAGTGTGTGGGCACAGTCCATTAAAACACTGAAACTTAAGCTGCATAAAAGCAGATTAAAAATAGGCCATTTTCTTCATTCCTGTTCTTCTGTCTCTCTCTTTCTCTTGGCTTACTCCACTGTCGTGTCTGCAGCTGTTCTGTGACTGTCATAAATCTGCACCAGATCAGGATTTATGTACTGGCTGCTCTACAGGACTCCAAGCTCACAGAGCTGTGAAATATGCCCCATATTTCTTCTGATGTTCTCTGGAGGAAGTGGCAAGGCACGACAGGATTGTGACTTGCCAAATTTGGTGATGTAGAGTCGTATGCGTGACATTTTGAAGACAACAGTCGACAGATTCCTCCTAATTACTGCGTTTAGCTTATGAAGACATGAGTACTTTGACACAGTGGCGCTCATATGTCCCTCAATCGTGCTGCCATACTATGAAAAGGCAGTAAAGGCGTTTTTCTCCATATGCACCCACACATTCTGGAGTTAATTTGATGCACTATGTGCATGCAGTGGTAGGAGGGACTGCAGGGTGGGGCAGTGGCATCAGCAGTATTTCTGTGTGTGACTCTGGATTAGAGGAGGCTGTTCCTGGGAGGGTTTTGCTCTGATCTGGCCAGGCAAGACAGCAGCAGCAGCAGCTGGCTTCCTTGGTCCCACCCAGCCCTGCCAGCTTAGGCTTGGGCTGGGAACACTGCCAGCCAGCCACTCAGAGTCCAGCATTCGTTGTGCCACAGATGCACAATTGAAGAAGTGGTAGCTTAAACTATTACTTAAAATGTATCACGGCTCACGTGCACACACACAGGCTGTAATATAATGCACAAGCGAAGTGTGCACGATGTCAGAGTCGTGCTTTATTGAATCATCCTTTCTTTCATTTTGAATTAAGACAACAAATCAAGCAAACAAGGAGATGCAAGACTTCAGCTGAAGTCACTATATACAGGAACTAACACGGTCTGTGACCCATGCAAATTACTTCCTGTGTGTCGATTTCTACAACCACAAGAAAGTATTCTGCAAATGCTTTTCAACGGTCCAAGTTGATACACTGTGATTTAAAAAAAAAAAAAAAAAAAAAAGAATAATATAAAGTTGTAAGCGATAGTATAATTTCACTCTTCCTATATGCTTTGTCTTTGCGATCCAGGTCCTAGATTTGATTTCCAGTGACAATCTCAATGTGCCATCTGAGGAGGAAGTGTACCGAGCCGTGTTGAGTTGGGTAAAACATGATATAGATGGACGCAGGCAACATGTACCTTGGGTAAGTCGTTTGGTTTCCATGTTACCCACCCCATTCCCCTTTTTGTTGTTTAACTCTGTGTAGCGCCACCCGCTCATCACCCACTCTCCCACTGTCTTCGCTAGCTGATGAAGTGCGTGCGGCTGCCATTGTTGAGGCGAGACTTTCTGATGAGCAACGTAGACACGGAGCTGCTGGTGCGTCACCACTCGGAGTGCAAAGACCTGCTAATCGAGGCCCTAAAGTATCACCTGATGCCGGAGCAGAGGGGTGTCCTAAGCAACAGCCGGACGCGCCCACGACGCTGTGAAGGCGCCAGCCCTGTGCTCTTCGCCGTTGGTCAGTGTGCATCTGAAGGTACCCATTAGGGTACACTTGGACCACACACATCTCTAGCTCACCAGTCACTCATGATTTTTACAAATGCCAGCATTTTTTATTCTGTGTGAACTGCATGTTGGAACTTGAATAGTGCGCCTGTGTACACACACACACGTCAGATGTGTCTCCATCGACTGTTTCCAAAATGAACAATCTGACCTTTACACCCACTATGATTGGAGGCTGTGAGGCTCTAATACTTCTCCTCCCTCATTTTTAACTTCTAGCCTTGCTGTTTGGAATGACTGTAAACACATTTCATTTTCACTCCTTTTAAAAACCCGAAGTTGAAGTCCTCGTTTTCTCATGTCACCATCCTCCTGATGACATTTGCGTTTTTGCTCATTTTTTTTTAGTGTATGTTTGTTCTTTCCCAGGTGGTGGCAGCTTGTTTGCCATCCACGGAGACTGCGAGGCGTACGACACCAGAACAGACCGTTGGCACATGGTGGCGTCCATGTCCACTCGGCGGGCACGGGTGGGCGTGGCAGCAATTGGGAACAGACTATACGCTGTTGGAGGGTAGGTGATAATAATCGCAGCGTTTGACCCTAAAACGTTATTTGTTACTCAAACATTACATTGTGTGATTTGAGGGGAAGCAGAATTTGTGGATAATTTGCATTTGCTCGATAAGCTGGTGAGAGCTTTCTTCCATGCAAAGCAACTTTTTATCTTGTATGTTCACCGTTTGTTGCAAAGTTGTGCATTCGTTTATATCCGTGTCGCTCTCTTTAGCTATGACGGCACCTCTGACCTTGCAACCGTGGAGTCCTACGACCCTATCACTAACTCCTGGCAACCTGAGGTTTCCATGGGAACACGACGGAGCTGTCTAGGCGTAGCTGTCCTGCATGGCCTGCTGTACGCTGCGGGGGGTTACGATGGAGCTTCCTGTCTCAATAGGTATGCACAGCCTGTTATTATGCTGATGAATACTGATCATTTTAAGCTGAATTAAATACACGTGAGCATCTGTCTTTTTTCACCTCTTCTTTTAGTGCGGAGAGGTACGACCCTCTGACCAGTACATGGACCTCAATCGCTGCTATGAGCACTCGTAGGAGATATGTTCGAGTAGCAACTCTGGGTAGGTACTGGCAAAAAAAAACCAAGCTGTGCTCCTGTATTTACTTTTCACTGTTTGTATTTTAATAACTCACATCAAGAGGGAGTTGCCATCTCGGTATGCGACCGCTAATATTTACATTCTCAGTATTTACTCCCTTTTCCCCTCCAGATGGCAGCTTGTATGCGGTGGGAGGTTATGACAGCTCCTCACATCTCGCAACAGTGGAGAAATATGACCCCCAGGTATACAGCTGTTAAATTTATCATTAGAAAAACTCGTCTGTTGCCAGGTTTACCTAGACTGGATGCTGTAGACAGAGTGAAACGGTACAAATGAATCTGCTGTGTGAATATGTGACAAGTTCTCGGTCTCTTGATTGGCTGAACAGAGCAACACGTGGACCGCCATCGCCAACATGTTGAGCCGACGCAGCAGTGCCGGGGTGGCTGTGCTCGACGGCATGCTTTACGTCGCAGGAGGCAATGATGGCACCAGCTGCCTGAACTCAGTGGAGCGCTTCAACCCCAAGACCAACACCTGGGAAGGAGTTGCCGCCATGAATATACGCAGGTTAGCCACATTTACAAAGAGAACAGAGGGGTTATGGTTTGTTTTTTACATTATGCTGCACCGTAAGAGGCAGAAAGAGAAGAGATGAGAAAAAAAATCTGGGATGAATTCAAGGTAATAAATTAAACAAGACACACCTTTAGCCAACTGAGCCAGCAGGATGACCCAGTTCTCCCTTTACGCCTGCATAACTTCAGCTGGGAGTGAAGAATATGGAAACAGCCTCTGTGGGGTTTTTTTGTTTTGTTTTTTTTTAGCGCTGTCCAGCTTTTATCCTTATTTTTGTGCTTCTAACAAGCACGACACCTTGCTGAAAGGATTTGAGAAGCACCACAGGCCAAGCCTCAGTTTTAGTCTAACCTAAATAAAGAGATAAAACCATCTTCTTTGAAAAGCTGAAAAAATATCTGTAGCTCTGTCTGTATGTAGCTTGTCAGAATAGTATCTCGGCTGCAATTAGTTCGCTGTGTGCAAAAGGCTCGGGTGTCGGGGCATTTGGAGGATTTTTTTTCCCCTTGTGCTGCCAAAACCTTCTTAAGGCATAAACATCAAGTGGCCTATTTTCCACAACAGAGTTTTTATGTTTTAATTTTCTTAGAAGATGAAAGCTGAAACTCATCTTGCAAGTGATTATCAACAAAGGCATACGTGCACACACGCACGCTCGCAGCATTGTATTGTCACAGGATCTGCAGCAGGGAGGAAGATTTGGAGATGTAGCTGTTGAGGATTTGTGATAGCATCGGCAGATTTGCTCTATACCCGGGGCAGACACACTTATGCATCCGCACACGCACACTTGGTTATGTATGAGTCATTGTGTTGTAGGAGCAGAAAAACCTGACAACAGTTGACTGTGCAGCTCCATGAATAACCCATGGCATTAATCAGCTGTGTGCCTTGGAGTTCTTTTCTTATCCAGTTGCTGAGAGGCTCAATTTCCACTGTCCAAAACAATCACAATGTACTGGCTACTAATGTGTCACACGCTATAGCCACTTCACACATGTGCCGGTGTGGGAGACGTTGTAGAATAATAGTCTTGTCCAAAATCATCTCATTGTGTTGCGGTCACGACGGGGATATTTGAAATGAACATTAAAACCAAATTTGTTCCAAGTCCTCTTTAAGCGCAGAAAAATGTTCTTTTTTTAATTATTTATTTTTTACACCGATCATTTTCTTTGATTAAGAATTAAGTATAGATGTTCAAAAAGTACTGCTGTGCCATGTCAGGTTGCTTTAATCCCCAAAGCTAAATATTAAACAGAGTTTTGTTACCCAAGCACTGCAACAGGCTCATATACACATTATGTTACATTAAGGTTTTTGGTAGCGACAGTCCTGTGTGCTTTTTGAAACCCTCTTGTTGTAGGTTTTTTTTTTTTTTGTAAAAGTTCATGTTTGACTCAATAACTGCAAGGTGTCCAGGTCCTGTGGTTGCAAAACGAGCCCCAGTCACCACCCCTCCACTACCATGCTTGACTGTGGCGTGAGATGTTTGAATGGATATACCGTGTTTACGGCAGTAATTTTGTCTGTCCAAAGTTCATTGTTCCTGAAGTCTTGTAGTTTGTTTAGGTTCATCTTTGCAAACCAAAGCCATGTCACCTGGTTCTTTTTAGAGAAAATCGTTCCAAACAAGCCACACGTGTTCACATTTTTAAATTTTACTGTCATAAACTTTAACATTTAACATGCTGAGGCCTGCAGCATCTGAGACAAAGTTCTTGTATTTTTTATTTATTTGTTTTCACAGCCTGACTTTTATGTGAATTTGCTGGGACATCTTCACTTGGGCAATTGTGGCAATGTGTTAACAAACACCTGAATGCTTCAGGCAGCAAACTGCCAAA